CCTCGTCTCCCGCCTGTGCCCGGCACCCAGTGCCTGCTGCGGGGCGGGCAGCTCCACCTCGTCAGGATCCCATCAGCAGGGGCCATGGTGCATGGAGCTGAGTGTCTGCTTTCTTTCCTCTGGCGTCCTGCTGGTTTTGAGTGCGCTGGGTCATGGCATAGATCCGTGTTCCGTTCCTCCTGTCTTTAGCACACTGGGGTGTGGCGTGGGTCAGTGGCCTCTTCCTCCCATCTGAGCGCGCTGAGTCAAGGTGTGAATCGGTGGTTCATTCCTCCTGTCTTGAGCATGCTGAGTCATGGTGTGGGTCAGTGGCCTGTTCCTCCCTTCCTGAGCATGCTGGGTTGGTGGTGTGGATCTGTGGTCCTTTCTTCCTGCTGCTGAGAGCTGTGGAGCTCACCCACGTGTCTCCTCTGCTGGTTTCTCCAGTTGTCAGGAGAAGGTAACAGCGCTGATGAAGGTGTATACCTAACTACCCTTTTCTCTAACTGTGTTTTTAAAAGTTGCAAACAGTTATCTTTTAAAGGTTTTGTTTTGTTTTTCTTTTTTGGTGGGAGATGAAGGTAAAAATCAGGCTTAAAGTGCTCTGTACATTTCCTAAGATGTGCTGAGAGCAGGGAGGCTCGGCCAGGCGCACCCCACAGGGGTGCAGGGCCATGGGTGGGAGAGGCGCTTTTCTCCTGTGACTGCAGTGAGCTCCGGAGGGTGGGTCTCCGCCCTGGGTGGCACGAGGATGCTCCTGATGCTTCACCCGGCCCTGCGTATGAGTCGCAGGCAGGGCTTCTGCCGCAGACCTGCTGGTGGGAAGTAGCACACTTTCTCACTCAGGCCCCGGTGCCCTCCTTGGCCCCAGCATGCAAGCGGAGCCGTTAGAGGAGCCAGTGCCCTGTCCAGCTGGAGTTCTGAGGCACCGGTCCCCAGAACGGCCAGAGTGTTCGGGTTCAGCGTCCGCACAGGGGCCCTGCCCTGCTGCCCCGGTGGCCCCTGCGGCTCACTGACTCGGTACCTGTGTGTCCAGGACTCCGCTCCTGAACGCTGTGGATGTTGTTTGGAGACACAGTGACACACATCGGATTTTCCTTTCTCTCGTAAGAAGAGATGAGGGGGAGACATTTAAGTTAATTTGTCAATATCCTATACCAAAAACCTGGTGGCGTTCGGAGTGACACTGGACACACAGTGCTCCACGCACTGCGGCTCCACTTACACTACTGGAGGCAGACCCCACCTAGCTGTCATTGTCAGCGAGGACCCCTGCCTGACACACACGAGCTGGCGATCAGCACCCCCCCCAGCACGGAGCTATGCAGCCCCGTGTCCCCCACCTGACCATCATTCTCAGCAAGGACCCCTGCCTGACACACACGAGCTGGCGGTCAGCACTCCCTCACACCGCATGGAGCTACGCAGCCCCGAGTCCCCCACCTGACCATCATTCTCAGCGAGGACCCCTGCCTGACACACACAAGCTGGTGATCAGCACCCCACCCCACACGGAGCTACGCAGCCCCGTGTCCCCCACCTGACCATCATTCTCAGCGAGGACCCCTGCCTGACACACACACACAGCTGGCGGTCAGCACCCCACCCCTGCACGGAGCTGCACAGCTCTGTGTCCCCCACCTGGGCCACATGTCAGTTAACTACCAGGTTCATCAGTGGGCCGGGTATGTTGGAAGCAAGGTTATTCACTGGTGGGCTCCACAGGGGTTCAGTGGGAAGTGCAGGTGGAGGGGTGCGGCAGTCCTGGAAGTCCCACGGCGCTGCCACAGGGAGCGCCGGGCCACCCACTGCAGCGCCTCTCCGCCAGCAGGCGCGCCCTCTCAGCCTTCTTAGGAAATTGTCTTTTGGCCTCACTGTGCCGGCCTAGTCAGCTCTCAGCTCTCTGAGTCAGGGATAGGGGCGGAAAGGTGGACAGTGCAGCAGCGCATGTTCTAGAACTCTCTGCAGATGCATCCAGGCTGGCAAGCTCACGTAGGGGGTGGACAGCCACCCTCTTTGGTGTTGAGTGGCTGTTACTGCCTCAGGGCTGCATCTGCAGCCTCACAGCCACCTGGTGGGCCCCGGAGAGGCCACATCCTCCAGAGCCTCTGTCTTCCCGTAAAGGACACTGAATGTGTTGCCTTCCTAGATCAAGATGTTCTCCAGGTAACTCAGGGTTGTAACATGCAACCTGTGATCGCTTTGAAACAGCTAACGAAATGCACTTCTATTTACCTGTGTGTCATGTGTCACTCAACAGTGGTATAAAACAGCAACAAACACAGAGGACCGCATTCCCCTCACCCGCAGTGCAGTGTGCGTGAGAGCACCACACTCCCCTCACCCGCAGTGC